CTATTTATGTTATGAGTGCCATGTAATAGGGGGTGAGCCTATTGCCATATACCGAGCACAGTTCCAGACTACGTATTTTTTTTAAAAACCCAGTAATACTTTGCCCCTTTCGCAATAGGCTCACCCCCTATTACATTGGACTCATAACATAAATAGTGAAAAGTGGGTGTTACATTGTACTGTGTAATGTGCACCTCTGCCTACCCCTTCGGGAATAAAAGGCGTGATGTTATGTTATGTAATTAATTATTTGTAATCACACTAATATTATAAATGTGAAAGTCTCTTTGTTTGAATGTTTGTCTGTCAATCACACTGAAACAGATTTTGATGAAATTTTGTATAGGTACTGGTAGGGTGCATGTGCACTTTTTATCCAGATTAAATGCTCTCATGGGATAAAACAGAAATACGCGGACAAAGCCGCGCGTTAAAGCTAGTTTGTTAAATATAAGCATGTTTTAACAAAATACTCGTATCTTATGTTACTAAGTTATCTGTTACAAGTTTAGACTTCAGTTCTGAGTTCAAAATTAGACTTCTAAATTAATTTTCGTTGTTCTGTATTGTTTTAGTTTTTAATTAAGCGGTAAATTTCACGGTCTAACAGTATTGTGTTAAGTTTTAATGAGTAATTAGCTTGTTAATTTGAACCAGTCCATGTTAGCTTTTTCGGTGATAAAATGCGAATTTTCTATCATGTAGGTACCTACTTTTAGAGTATTTATGTAGAAAATAGGAAAACAATATATACCTATGCGATTTTTTTTTACGGGGGTAAATCATCGAATGACTGCTCCCGTCTGGGTGAGGCGGGAGCAAGAAACTCCTTAAGTTACTCTTTTTCAATCAGGTTTACAATACAATTATCTAGTTAGTTACATTGTTTTGTTAGTTCGTGTAAGAACAATGTAACACCTAAATCCAGTCAAAGAGATTGAAAAAGAAAATAAACTTGAGGACAATAAAATCATACAGTCTGGAGCTGACCAGTCCCAATTGACGGCGCCCGTTCACGAACATGACACATATACACAAATACGCTCACATATAGCTTTCAAAGTTTAATCATATCCAAAAAAACTGCTATAAAAAAGTAAAATTATGGACTCATTGAAGTGACCAAAGCTCCGTTGGTCGCGGCAATGAGCGGGTACCCTAGCTAGCGGTACAACTGTGACGTCACAACCTGACATAAGTCGTTGACCTACCTGTCTTGATACTACAGCTGTGCTCTGGCCGTACGCTATAAAAAACCAGTTAATCATGGCGAACTATGTATGATCTTCCCGTATATTCGAAGATCATTTTATACTGGTAATGCTTGATGAGTGTACAATTATTTATGTTTTGTTCGATTTACGTCATTATAAGGATAATTATTGCTTCAATGAATGTATTGGTTTAAATATCGGGACCGGGTTCAAGTTACTTTATTAGGTTTTCGAATTTCTAAATTTCATTTTGGTATGTATTTACGAAATTTGGAACTGTGTCTGATAGACACTGAATTGGTACTGAACAGTGTATGATACTTTTTAAAAATGTGTTCGCCTCTGTTCGTCCTTTAGTGGAGTCATATGCCTGATAATAAGTATGTTACGTACTAATAAGACAAGCAAAATCAGCGTTTAAATCATGTAGGTAGTTTGATCGACCAATTTTGATTGCTTCAGCAAAATAACAAATGACAACCTACTTAATACATTTTTGTTTCAATTATTCACGGCTTCTTCATCATTTTGCTTACAACTTCAATTTTCGAAGTAGGTAATTGTGTCAAGAATTAAACATTACGTCTTTTGATATCCGAAGGGTTGACAGCAGTGTACATCATATACCTAATTCAATAAATGAGTTTTATATCGTGTCCCTATTTACTACACAGTTGCGATATGAGTCCCTTGCCAACCCGCCTTGAGCAAGCGATGGAGATTGATGCTCAAACCTTCTTCGTGTGAGAAGAGGCTTTATTCAGCCGTGGGCACTTGTAGGCTGATGATGAGATCTTATGAATCACATGTAATAGGGGTGAGCTTATTGCATATACAACGGGTGTAATGTTTTTATAATAACTATCGTGAGACATACTAAATTAACTAAAAATCGCGGCGATGTCGCACGCTATTCATAAGGAAGAACCCCTCTGTGGTTCGAAACAGTAGTAGAGCTTTTCTCAGTATATTCACGTTAGTAAGCAGCTATTTTTAGTTAACGGGTGAAAATGCAGACTTTCAGGAAATGTTATTTTAGGATAAGGCGACCAAAGAGCTGACAGATCACCTGATGGCAATCGATCGACATCGCCCATGCAGACCCGCCATCCCAGAGGAGTCATAAGGTCGTTATCAGTTTAATGTTAAGTATATTATGAGGATTGCGGAATTGGTGAATTGGGGATCTCTAAAATTGATGTCAAATAAACAGTAGGTACTGTCTTTTGAGGCGCAAATCGACAAACAAACTTTATGTTTATAATGAGTCTAGGGTTCCAAGAACAGATTTGCATTCAAACATTTTATGGGGCCCTATGCCATAATGTGGTCTGCGGTACTAACGGTGCTTCGTACCTGCTTATTATGGAAAAGCATACTTAAGCACAAGATTATAAGGTTGCAAATTCGATGTGGTTTTAAAGTTATTACTTATTTATGAGATTTAATTCTATACGTTGGTCTAGGGTTAGAAATGCTCTAAGAAGTTATGAATTCATTGTTCAGGTTAAGCTAAATTTTGTTGGAATTTTCCTTTACAGTTTTTAGTGGTTTTATTTTATTTTTAGTCACGGTCGTCTCACTGCAGGACACACGCCTCCCTACCCACCTTCCACTCATCTCTTCGTATAGTTTTCTGTGGTCAATACTTTTCATAGGCGTCCAGATCATCCCGCCATATCCTCTAGTAGTAGTAGTAGTATTAAAGTTATATATACCAGTAACATTGTTAAACTACGTTATTATTCTAAAGGAACAAAGGAGTTTCTTATTCGTTCTTCTAAATATGAATCTATATTTTGGAATGAACTTCTAAGCAATGACGGATAATTCAAGTTGATAAGTTCAGAAGTATTTATCTTTTTGAGGATTAATTTAAATAATAGAAATATTCGTGTCTGTATAAAGAGAATTAACTACTTAGCGCCGGTTTCACCACCTCTATACATATAAGTACCTGATAAACGTATGTGACAGATAGTTCATACAAATTACGTTCTTAATTCAAATTTATCTGGTAGATAGCGGCTATCCAGATATTGTGGAACGGGCCTTTATACATACTTATATTATATTAGCCACTTATATTATACAAGCGACCCGCCCCGGCTTCGCATGGGTGCAATATGCATTTACTATACATATAAACCATCCTTAAGAATCACTCTATCTATTAAAAAACGCTTTAAAATCCATTGCGTAGTTTTAAAGATCTAAGCATACATACGGACAGACAGACGGCGGATAGACTTTGTTTTATAGTATGTAGTGATGGTTTAAGTTAATACACGTAATTAATAAGTCTATTTTAGTTTATGACATTTCCATTCCTACAATTTTTGCTTATCAGTAAAAATATAAATACATGGTGACCTAAAATTTTGATGACTTAATTCATCAAGTGCTCCATAACCTCTACCATGTGGCATACTATTCTGTGTTTGAAGGGGGAAATCGTCCAATGACTTCCCCTCTCGCCTAACCCAAGTCTCCCGCCTAGTGTCAGACTCTTACTGACTAAAAACCACCCCGTTCCTACTCTTGCAGTTCGAGCCGGAGCCCCGAGACAATATCCTCCGTAACTTATAACCCTTGGGGAGAATATTTTTTGTTCAGCAGTAGCTGATGACGATGATAATCTTACTCATATTATAAAGGCAAAAGTTTGTGTGTGTTCGTTACTCAATGATGTCAAAACGGCTAAAGTAATCGTGATGAAATTTGGAACAGGGGTAGATAATATGTAACATAGTCTGCTTTTTATTCCACAGGGACGCGGGCGAACCCGCTGGCAGAAGCTAGTAATGATATAATAATATTATATTATAACATCACGCCTTTACCCCCGAAGGGATAGGCAGAGTAACCATGTAACCACCATGTAACACCCACTTTTCACTATTTACGCTATGAGTCCCATGTAATAGGGGGTGAGCCTATTGCCATATACCGGGCACAATTCCAAACTCCGTGCTACTACTGAGAACCCGAGACCCCTTGCCCAGCCCACTTGCGACCACTCGGCCAACAAGGCAGTATTATAAACATGTACCTACAGAGATATTATATACCTACTTTAAAAACACATGTCACATAGATTCAAATACTCAGTTGAGATAGACACACGGCTACACATCGAGCTTTACATAACCAGTATAAACTGAACGTTAAATGTGCGGAAAGATGATGCGACGCGACACCAGGATAAACTGGTTTTGTATAGATTGATGTGTGGCCGTGTATACAATCCTAAAAATCGATTTATTATGCCTAAACGGTACATAATGGATACAAATTAACTAAGGTAACCATAAAATTGAATTACTGATAAACTACCAAGATGTTTAGTTGTTCTTTAGTGAATAAATTATGTTCAGTAGTAAATTTTGAAAATTTTTTTAAATTTCATTATTCGTTTAAAAGAACTACTTGGTTCTACATTAGTTTGGTATTCATTGTTCGTAATTGTAATATCTTTATAACATTTAATAAATGTTTAACTTAACCTACATTTAAAATTATGTTTCATTGTTAAATCATAATATTTTTTGCTATCGTAAAATAAAGTTGAACATAACAGTAAAATAAAAATAACTAAGTCATGAATGTTTCACAATACTTATGATTCAATAAATAATAGTTCTTTTCGATATACGAATACATAAATTTACAATTATTAATTCATTCATAAAAAATATACAACAGTTAAGATACTTTTGAAATGTAACGTGGCGCCAAGAATTGGAACAGCTACGTTCTATATTCAAATTAAAAATGACAGCTCACCTGTTTTCTTTTTTAATGTCCCAGTATTTACAAACAGCCAACACACACACGTTATGTTATAAATTAAAAATATTTTAATAAATAACTAAAATACTATCGGGAACCACTGTTCTTCACTGAGATATGACAGTCCATGACTCAATTTACCGGCTACTCTACTGTGCAAACACGTATTCCACTGACTATAAAATGTTGCTACACGCGAAAATATGCATAAATATTTTTATTACGCTAGAACACTAAAAATAATTCGATGTTTAAATTCAAATATCGCGTTCGGCGTACGAGCATCGACTCCACGTTCATTTTTGGTCCAACTCGAGACCACATTGCTGTCCTTGTCGTAACTATATTTCTATTTCGTTCTACCTTCGAGTGCATTCGTCCTTGACTCTGAACTCCGGTACCATAAGAAAGATGTACCGTTTCTATTCGATCTCTCTTTCGCTCTTATGGGAGATTGGGTATGTGGGAGAGAGATGGTGATATAATTACCAGTTAGGTGTGAAATCTGGCTGTCAATGACCGGGAAGGATGAAATAAGAAAACATTTTAGGACTGTTATATTTTTACTGTTATTTTTCGGTCCTTTGACCTGTTTTTTTGTATTTTTCCTATGACGTAAGAGTATGGTAGTTGGCGCAGTGATAATTTGTGTTAATCACAGCAGATTCAGTTGGCGAAGTTGAATGGACCTTAATGAACTGGCGGACGGGGGCAGTTTTAGGGAGTTCCCGTAGGTTGCAAATTAAATGTTGCAAACTTACAAACTTACTTTTAATTTTATTTTTATTTGTGTATTGTATGTAGCTACTTACTACATTTATTTGTGTTGTTGCACATACAATAATTTGTTTAACATAACATAACATAACATCTCGCCTTTTATCCCCGAAGGGGTAGGCAGAGGTGCACATTATGACACTGTAAAATGTAACATAACATAACATAACATCTCGCCTTTTATCCCCGAAGGGGTAGGCAGAGGTGCACATTATGACACTGTAAAATGTAACATAACATAACATAACATGTTTTTCCCACTTTTCACTATTTATGTTGTGAGTTCCATGTAATAGGGGGTGAGCCTATTGCCATATATCGGGCACAATTCCAGACTCCGTGCTACTACTAAGAATTTTTCATAACCCAGTAATACTTTGCCCGACTCGGGAATCGAACCCGAGACCCCTTGCAGTCACACTTGCGACCACTCGGCCAACGAGGCAGTCAGCAACGAGATAATTTGTTTAGTTATGTCATATCGGGATCAGACAATTACAGAAAAAAATAAGTCCAATATATACAGCTAAAAACCTAACAAAGAACATCATAATTACTTGTAAAACTTGTGAAATATGCATGAAAAATAAGTCAAGATGCCAAGGAAAATATGGATTAATGTCGCAACTGGGACCAGCAACAAAACCATTTGAGATAATGTCAATGGATACTATCGGTGGCTTTGGAGGATCTAGATCAACAAAAAAATACCTACACCTTTTAGTTGACCACTTCACAAGATATGCGTTTATTTCGACTTCGAAAACACAGAATGCAAGTGACTTTATAAAACTAACAAATAATGTACTAGAGACAGATGAGATTGGAATAATCCTAACAGATCAATATCCAGGTATCAATTCAAGAGAATTTAAGAAACATTTGCAAGATAACAATATTAAACTAATTTTTACAGCTGTAAATACACCATTCTCTAACGGCTTGAATGAAAGATTAAATCAAACAATAGTCAATAAAATTCGATGTAAAATAAATCAGAAAAATAATAATAGAGCCTGGACAACAGTAGCAAGAGAATGTGTTCAGAAATATAATGAAACAGATCACTCCGTTACAGGCTTTGCACCAAGATATTTACTGGATGGTACGAATGTAAGCACTCTACCAAATGAATTAAAAACAACGGAAAGGGAAGACAAGTGGATGGCTGATAAAACATTGGCATTAGAGAATACAATAAAATCCCACGAGTATAATAAGAAGATATTTGATAGAAACAGAAAAATTCAAGAGTTTAACATAGGAGACCGTGTATATGTAGAAAACGGAAATAAGCTAAATAGAAATAAATTAGACGAATTAAAAATAGGCCCATTCAAGATTATAGAGAAAATATCCAACTCCATTTACAGGATTGACACTGGCAACAGAAAAACAGAATCAACTTTATTCCACATAACAAAATTACAACCAGTCCCAACAGAAGCTGAAGAAAATGAATAAGAAGAAAATTATTAGATAGTGTTTAGATGCATATATTATTTGGGATTTTCCCTCTTAGGGGGGGAGATGTAATGAAATGACATTTCATTAATTTGAATTTGCCGCGCTTCGCGCTTGTTCGTGGTTTTATAGGTTATCTGTGGAAACCATTATAACAATCTGAAAATAGCTTGTAGTTTTCTAGAGGATAATTTAACATTAAAAATAATAAACGAGGAGGCGATAGTAAACTTTAAATGTCGTTTCTTTGTATTTTCAGGTGAGATTTAAGAATAATTGTCATAGTTAAATGATAAGTTGCAATATTGTAAACGTTTATTAATTAAAACAATAACTTTGTATTTTCAGAGAAACAATTTGTGGTTTATTTTGAAAATCCTCAATAATATATCTTATAAAACGACATTTTCGTTTACGAAAGAAGATGGACCGGTTACAATTTGAGTTTACGATGATAGCTTCAAATGATGGCAAATCTAATACATTAGCCATAACCTCAATATCTACAGAAGAAGGAAAATGTTATGTTTTACCTGATGAACTGAAGCCGGTAATTCATCATAAATACATTATTAAATTGAACACTTTCTCAAAAATAAAAAATAGCATAAAAAAAAGATATCAAACTAGAAAAATCTGGATAAAACTGGATGAAGATTTGAAGAAAACATATGTAGACGAGGAAGGTAATATGCAATTTTTAGATCAATACTTAGAAGAAATGAGCACAAAACAAGCAAGGGACCATGATGACAGTTTGCATCAGATCTTAGAAAAACTAATTGAATCTACATCTAAGAAAGAAACCCAACATAATCTAAAACATGTTTCTGAGAAATTTATTATTGAAAAATTCACAAGCAAGAATCCTAATGCAGTGCAGTGGATAGAGAATTTTGAAAAAGAGTGTGAACGCTTTAATTTAACAAAAGATGAAACAAGAATAGATATTTTGAGGTTATTTTTAGAAAAATCTTGTTTGGACTGGTACAGCTCAATGGTCATCAAACTAACAGTAAATTCTGAATGGAGTGAATGGAAAGATAAATTTTTAGAAACTTTTCAAAACCGAGGATGGGACATGGTCACAACTGCATTCGCATTCAAATATAAAGAAGGACTGTTAATTGATTATGCTACTAAAAAAGAACGGCTCCTACTAGATGTCAATAGATCAATGGATCCCAAAACAATGACAGATCTTATTGCAACAGGTTTACCTGGGTTTATCTTAAACAAGTTGAACAGAGACGAACTCAACAACACTACTGCTTTGTTCAATGAGATAAGAAAATATGAAGGTATGATGTTCAAAAGAAACTCAACGTTAGTAAAGAATAGTACATTTCCTTATAAAAATAAAACTAACGAGAAGAAGCCATGCAAGACGTGTGAGTCTCTGGAGAAAGGAATTAGATATCATCCGGAAGAATCATGTTGGTTCAAGAAAAATAAAAATGAATCTGAAAAGGTCATTAAAGTTAAAAATGTTAATAATAATTCCATTATTGAAGTAGATATGAATACGGAGAAAAAAAACGAGTAAGCACACCATTAATCAAAGTTAAGCTTTTATTAGAAAATAAATTAGAAGTGAGCGGCATTTATGATTCAGGCTCACAGATCTCTTTAATAAATTCAAGACTGATTAAAGTCAAAGAAAAAAAAGACAATGTGAATATTGTTTATATAAAAACGGTTAATGGTGTGAAGAAGACAGATGGCTTGATAACAATAAAAATAAAAATATTTGATTTAGAAAAAGAGGTGGATGTATACATAATAGAAAACGAACATTTTGATGATTTTATAATTGGATTAGACTTGATAAGGAAATTCGGATTAGTTCAAAATGAGAACTAAAAGATAGAACAAAAGAAAACAATCAATAAAATAGACAGTATGTCTAAAGATAACAGAAATGAAGATGAGAATATAAAAACATATGCAATAAATTTCAATGAACACATGGAAACAGAGGAATTCATTAGTAAGACTGAGCATTTAGATAATGAAAAGAAAATTCAGATAGAAGACATTATAAAGGAATATAAAACAATTTTTGCTAAGGACAAGTATGATATAGGATCAGTTAAAGATTATGAAGCCCACATAGATTTACTAGTAAATCGATACTGTAGTAGAAGACCATACAGATGCACAATAGAAGATAAATTAGAAATTGAAGAGCAAATATCCATGTTACTTAAGAATAATTTAATCGAAGAATCTTACAGTCCTTTTGCTGCTCCAGTTACATTGGCATTTAAAAAAGGTGAAAATAGGAAATCCCGCCTGTGTATAGATTTCAGAGAACTAAATAAAATTGTTGTGCCACAAGCTCAACCTTTTCCACTGATAGATGATCTGATTATTAAAACTAGAAACTGTAGGTATTTTACTACACTAGATATCAACTCGGCATTTTGGGCCATACCACTACGGGTAGAAGATAGAAGCAAAACAGGATTTGTCACACAGGATGGGCACTTTCAGTGGACCTGTCTTCCCTTTGGTCTCAAAACATCACCAGGTATCTTCCAAAGAATTTTAAGTAATATTCTAAGAAAGCACAATCTCACAGGATACTCCGTAAACTACATTGATGATATTTTGATATATTCATCCACGTTTGAGGAACATATAAGACACATAAAAAATGTATTAGATGCTATAATAAAAGAAGGCTTTAGATTGAAGTTTAAGAAATGTACCTTTGCTTCAGACTCGGTAAAGTATCTTGGCCATGTAATTCAGAACAATTCCGTAAGACCACTGAAAGACAATTTGATCTCAATAAGACATTTTCCAACTCCGAAGTCCCAAAAGAATATCAGGCAATTTTTGGGAAAAATCAACTTTTACCACGAATACATACCAAGAAGCGCAATTATCTTAGATCCATTGCATAAATTATTAAGAAAAAACGAAAAGTTTGTATGGTCAGAAAAATGTGAAGAATCATTTAATCAAATAAAAAGATATTTATGTTCACAACCAGTTTTGGAAATATATGACAAAGACCTACCAATAAAAATCTTTACAGATGCGTCCTTAGAGGGTATCGGGGCAATATTGAAACAAACACAACTAGACGGTAAAGACAAACCAGTGGCATATTTCTCCAAAAAACTAAATGAATCTCAAAAACGGAAAAAAGCTATATACTTAGAATGTTTGGCTATGAAAGAAGCTGTTAAATACTGGCAACACTGGCTCATTGGAAAACAATTTACTATTTACTCAGATCACAAACCCCTAGAGAACATGAACATCAAATGCAGAACAGACGAAGAACTGGGTGATCTCACATACTACTTGTCTCAATATGATTTTATCGTGAAATATATTCCTGGTAAAGAAAATATAGAAGCAGACTGTTTGAGCCGAAATCCTGTATTGGAATCCGAAGATAACAAAGAGGAACTATTAAAAATAGTTAATTTAATACAAATAAAGGAAATAGTTGAAGACCAAGAGAAAAATGACACAATAAAAGAAAAAAGAAATATAATACATAAGAATAGAATCTATTATAAAAAAACAAAGAATCATGAAAAGATTATTCTCTCAGAAGAATTTAGTAAAAAGCTCTTACAAAAGGTTCATGAAGATTTATGTCATATCGGGATCAGACAATTACAGAAAAAAATAAGTCCAATATATACAGCTAAAAACCTAACAAAGAACATCATAATTACTTGTAAAACTTGTGAAATATGCATGAAAAATAAGTCAAGATGCCAAGGAAAATATGGATTAATGTCGCAACTGGGACCAGCAACAAAACCATTTGAGATAATGTCAATGGATACTATCGGTGGCTTTGGAGGATCTAGATCAACAAAAAAATACCTACACCTTTTAGTTGACCACTTCACAAGATATGCGTTTATTTCGACTTCGAAAACACAGAATGCAAGTGACTTTATAAAACTAACAAATAATGTACTAGAGACAGATGAGATTGGAATAATCCTAACAGATCAATATCCAGGTATCAATTCAAGAGAATTTAAGAAACATTTGCAAGATAACAATATTAAACTAATTTTTACAGCTGTAAATACACCATTCTCTAACGGCTTGAATGAAAGATTAAATCAAACAATAGTCAATAAAATTCGATGTAAAATAAATCAGAAAAATAATAATAGAGCCTGGACAACAGTAGCAAGAGAATGTGTTCAGAAATATAATGAAACAGATCACTCCGTTACAGGCTTTGCACCAAGATATTTACTGGATGGTACGAATGTAAGCACTCTACCAAATGAATTAAAAACAACGGAAAGGGAAGACAAGTGGATGGCTGATAAAACATTGGCATTAGAGAATACAATAAAATCCCACGAGTATAATAAGAAGATATTTGATAGAAACAGAAAAATTCAAGAGTTTAACATAGGAGACCGTGTATATGTAGAAAACGGAAATAAGCTAAATAGAAATAAATTAGACGAATTAAAAATAGGCCCATTCAAGATTATAGAGAAAATATCCAACTCCATTTACAGGATTGACACTGGCAACAGAAAAACAGAATCAACTTTATTCCACATAACAAAATTACAACCAGTCCCAACAGAAGCTGAAGAAAATGAATAAGAAGAAAATTATTAGATAGTGTTTAGATGCATATATTATTTGGGATTTTCCCTCTTAGGGGGGGAGATGTAATGAAATGACATTTCATTAATTTGAATTTGCCGCGCTTCGCGCTTGTTCGTGGTTTTATAGGTTATCTGTGGAAACCATTATAACAATCTGAAAATAGCTTGTAGTTTTCTAGAGGATAATTTAACATTAAAAATAATAAACGAGGAGGCGATAGTAAACTTTAAATGTCGTTTCTTTGTATTTTCAGGTGAGATTTAAGAATAATTGTCATAGTTAAATGATAAGTTGCAATATTGTAAACGTTTATTAATTAAAACAATAACTTTGTATTTTCAGAGAAACAATTTGTGGTTTATTTTGAAAATCCTCAATAATATATCTTATAAATTTAATTGTATTATTGCTTCGCCTAACATAGTTACGTATACGAAATATGTAGGTACTTAAAGGGGCCAGCACATGAATCTACTCCAATGTGTCAATAATAGTCATTGGGATTTTTGACTTTATACTTAAACAAATAGCTTTGAAAATGTAATAAAGAAAGTCAGAATAGAGTAGTTTGACGTGCTGTCCACTGTACATTGAACTTAAACTTGTATGGTCACAATACTGCAGTAAACTTAGGAATTAGAACTGCAGTGTAAATTATAGCTATTAGCAACAATTCATTGACCCGTAAAGTCAAAGTTAAGTCAAAGTCAAAATAATTTACATATATCAATAAGACCATGAAGACACTTTTGAACGTCAACAATAAAGGTTTTAAGTAAAGCTATTTGCTCATTCCGAGGTGTAGATTCCTATGGAGGCGAACGAGCAAGAAACTCCATAGGTTACTCTTTTTCATTCACAATACAATATTTAGTTACATAGTTGTTGACTGCACGGTTGGCGCTTTGGCTGGGCAACTGGCTGCCGCGCAACGTGTCGCGGGTTCGATTCCCGCACGGAACAATTCTTTGTGTGATCCACAGATTGTTGTTCCGGGTCTGGGTGTCATGTGTATGTGAACTTGTATGTTTGTAAACGCACCACGTTTTTATTAAAAAAAAAAAAAGAAAAGAAAAAAGTTGTCTTCGTTCAATTGTGTGAGAACAATGTAACACTAAAATCCAATCAGTCAATCCGTAACTCAAGAAAATAATATTACTCGCGGCAAGACTAGTTTTTATGGTACAGAGCTGACAAACCAGTATAGTAAGCAATCGGCTCCACCTATGATGGACTCCCTCAACACTAGAGGAGTGTGTTGTCGGTCTTTTTAGTTAACCCCTAAATTTGTTCATACAAAATTAGTCTCTAAACATCGGAAATAAGGTCTATAATGTAGTTAAGTTTTAAGCGTGGAAGAGCCAAGCTTCGGCACGAATTGGCCGGCTCAACCGGAGTGATACCACGGCCTCACAGAAAACCGAAGTGAAGCAACGCTTGCGTTGTGTTTCGTCGTGTGAGTGAGGTTACCGGAGGCCCAATTACCCTTTCCCAATCTCCCCAATTCCTGAATCCCCAACGATCCTCAAACTCCTAATTCCCCTAAAGGCCGGTAGAGCATTTGTAACGCCTCTGGTGTTTCAGGTGTTCATAGGCGACGCCGATTGCTTACCATCAGGTGATACGTCTGCTCGTTTACCGGCTTATGCCATAAAAAAAAGTTAGTTGAGAGTGGTCACCGGTGACCGCTTGGGGGTACGCAAGCGTTGTTTCACGTCGGTTTTCTGTGAGTTCGTGGTATCACTCCGGCCGAGCTGGCCCATTCGTGACGAAGTATTGCTCTCCTTCATCCTTTTGAGTATGTTTTAGTCTGTCGTCAGTCAGATAATAGCAAGCTCAACCAATTTGAGTTGACGTATGAAAGTGCTATTGTGTACACTATTTTGCAAAAGAAAAATGATTTCGCATTTGTTAACTAATTTGTTTCATGAGTTGGAAATTTATTTGATTCATACGTTGGTCATCATTCCTGATTCCGTGTAGCTACTATATTATGAATAGAAGTTCCAACCCAGTAATAAAGACTGGCAGCTAAGTCAGGAGTGAATTATATCCCATATTTATTATTTTTGTTTCTGGATAATAATAATAATCTTAAGCATTATGGTATTCCTATATTACACGACTTTAAAAAAAAAAGAAGTTAGGAAAAGTCGACCTCATCGTTCGCTTGATAAAATTGACGTGTAAAAGTGCTGCCTTGTAGCCTATTTGCAGAAATAAATTCATTTGTTTCACTTGAACATAATTTACATGCATCGCTTATTTTATGGATCCACACACCACTGATTTATTTTTCCTTATTTACTTTTAAGTTCAATCATGACGTTAATTACCTAATTTGTGTGTTACCATTACTATAATAACCTGTAAGCCAGGCTAGGCACTAATTTTTGTCAGTTATTTCCTCTCAGTCGGTAACTTGTAAATGCTTCGGAGAGTTGTATTATGGAGCTTTATGGACGTCTGTTGCGGTGACTAAGGAGCGTACAGCAGCGGCAGACGCACGACCGAGTAATTCATAAGTCATTTACCTTAATTTTAAAATAATCACATATAGAAATACTACTTTTGGAGCGTATTTGCAGAAATATTCAACATATTATTTAAATAAAATGTAGCTATTAGCTTTCAAAAAGCAAAAAGTAATAGCCAATGAAATAAATAGCGAAAAGCACATTACAAATTGTGAATAAAGAAACAGAGAAGAATATACACTCATAACCGAACCACAGAACGAAAACAAAGAAGATGAGGAACCAACAAAAACAAAAGAAGAAATAAAGAAAGAAAATAGTAGAAATAATTTGAACCGCTTCCGATGTTTACAACAACAATTCAAAAAAAGAAAATTTTACATCAAGAACGGTAAACAATGATTGTTCAGAACCGTTAGGTGGTAGAAAACAAAACATAGTTGAGTCAGTCACGTTTCCTATTCCAGTTTGAGCACACAGACCGATGAATTTCTGCGTAGTATCCGTCCAAGTAATTTTGGTTGTAATTTTCCTAGTGCAATGTCAATATGGTTTTGCGGTAAGTAAAAAAGTCATAAAGTTCATCAGGCCGGAAAGTAAGATAAAAAGATTCCAGCTTATTGTATGCAAATCGGCTAAAATTTGCTGATCTGGAAGCCTTTTGGGAGCTCTGTGTTTAGCCAGTGGACGTCCTGTAGCTGTTATTATGACGATGAATGGTCTATTTGACGAGAATGAATGTAAAAAATAAAGACATCCCAGTAATATTAATTATATAAAATTACTTGTTATTTTAGAACATGATATTGGTTAAGAGGAAGATAGTAAGATAATATCAATTGATGAAGACGAAAATAATCGTATTGTAATTGATAAAAATCAATTAAAAATTGTTGGATATTTTTAGATGCACAAGATATAAGTAGGATACAGTGAATAGAGGGATGTTTCTAAATAAAGTAGTTAAAGAATTCTGGTTACTATTCTTAATTCGGATTTCATTGCAGCAGGTGGAAGCAGATTCACAAGGATCACAAGGCGTTGCAAATTTGGTCAATAGCTTAGAAAAAAAAGTAAATATTCAGGTAAATAATAATGCTATTCATAATTATATTTCAAGTAATGTCTCAAACTAGTTCAACACACAGACGATGAAAACATGTTAAGTTATATTTAAAAAAGTAGTCCAATGTTAATAAACTAAGAAATACATACTTATAGGATAACAAATGAAAGACAGATATTGAAAAATGTTAAGACAGAATAGAGAGCGTTAAAAAGGTACTTTCGATTCATCCAGAAGATGTAATATATTGATAAATTGACACCTTTTGTTATCAAAACAAATGTTATAAAAAAACTAAGTTCCAGAAGTGGCTACAACTAAAATAATTCTAAGATATTTATTGTAATAGTTCAAAGAACTACTGACCGAAACTCCTTTTGCTCAATAAAGATAAAATGCCACAATACACTAGAAAGAGTAGAACTTCGAACTGATCATGACACACATTAGAAATATAAATACATTTTGTAGGAATTGATGAACGAGCTTTACGGAAAAGATAAAAAGACAGAAAACAAGTCTGTAGAATTCCCTACAAGAATAATTGAACATGCCACTGGAACTTTACCAAATACTAATGATATCAATGAAGAAGTCGATTTTACTGAATTGGTAAATAGTCAAGAACTGGCAGAACTTTATACCGCGACCTCGTTTGAAACCCGCGCCAGTGAAGTCACTAGTGATGAAGCTAACGTAAGTTTCACATCGGCAGAATTATTGTAGGTTCATGTAATACACTGTATAATGTAACACACAGATGAACACTATGAGTAGTAATATGTAAAGACTAATTTGCTAGCAAGATGCAAACAATGAATATTTTCTGTTTTGATTTTTTTTTGTAAACCACGGTAGTGCCTTATATCATAATGAACATACGTATACAAAACAAAATCATACTTAGGAAATCAAATATGTCTAATTTCCTAAATTTTGTTTTCAGGCTGAACCTGACACTGAAATGGTTACAAACGTACAACAGAAACCTAAAAGGAAGAAAAGGATTAAGAAACGCAAGAAAAATCGCAGAAAAAAACATTCGCCTGCGATCCAGGAGCTAAAAACAGTAACGAGTTCAGAAGTAGAAAAGGCAGAATTTGGGAAAAATAAAATTATGAGGAAATACCATAATAAACCACATCGCAATATACGCAAAAGGAAGTTTGTAAAGACAGCAATTAAAGATGTAAATACTAATTCTGATTCAGACGAAGCTAAAGCAAAGCCGGTGGACATAATTGTACATATTAAAATGAACGATTAGCTTTATTGATTTTGTTTTATTATTCTGTAATCTATAGATGATGTTAACAACTTCTTACTTTAAAGACTTTAAAGCTCAATAATTGGACAGATGTTATATAAGTGGTGGTGATTATTATTAAATCCTTTTCCGTATGAGAAGAGACTTTTGCGCACCAATGGCCACTTATAGGCTGATGTTGAAGATAAAATTCTACTAGGCTATTATACGACAAATAGACCTATATCTTTATGAAACAGATACAAAAAAAGACAAATGCGATGACGTCCATAGACTTCAATTAAGTTATTTCGAGATCATTGTCGTTGTGGATAAGTAAATCTTGGTCTTTTCCCTGTCTTCTAGGGTCTACTTCATTCGAAATTGGAATTCACAGTATAGTATTCATACTAGTGTGTACTGTGACGTCTATGAGTCGACTTAAGGGAACAGTAGAATACCAGCGCAAGGTCCTGTCTTGCATATGAACTGGTCCCATTTCACCACAGACTTGGGAAATGAACATGTATCCATCAGTACCTACCAATAGCGTGTGAACTAAACATTTTTTCTTTCTTTCTAAATCTATTACAATGTGATACACACAGTTACTTAAAGATATGAAAATTATTATAAGTTATCATAATACGACTTGCGCAAACGGTGATTATTGGTCATACCCTTTCCGTATGAGAAGTGAGTAATTATGAGCAGTGGGTCAACTTATAGACTGTCGGTGATGAGAATAAATTTGATATAAAATGTGATCTGTCAGGTAAACCATATAAACAAGAATAAAACTAACAGCATAAGAATAGTCGAATTTTTTTTTTATTACATGAAAAATGGAACAGTACATTTTATACTTTATTGCGTGATGAATAAATTAAAACTTCCCCTAAACATCATATTCGGCCACATCGGCTCCATTTAGTTCGTTTTTGTCGTGATCCTTATTCTCCTTTTGTTGGATATTTTATTCTTTTTCTTACCAACTCCCTTTCTCTTTTCCTTTTCCTTCTGAAGTTTGCTTTGTTCTTTTCTTTTCAGTTCTCTATTTAAATTCTTCATCAGCCGTGGAATTGGGCTGTTCGAGTTATAATTCGGACTATTGTATTGTTGTCTTATTTCATTAAAGAGATGATCGAGAACGCTCTCCGAAACTGCTTTCACATGTCGAGCATACTGCAAAAAATACAAGATACTCTTTTTTAAATCTGACACTTCTATCTTTAGTTCAGCTATGGCGTGTATCTGAAATAGGGGTATTTATACTTACATAGAATAGTGAATACATATAATGATAAAGTGTAATACTGATGACAAGACAAGGGAGAAGTTAAGTTAGTAATCCAGTTCAGCAAGATGTATTGCCGTTTGAGCATCTAGAGTACCTATTGCTTGGGCCATGGGATCAGACTATGTATAGGTGCTCAAAAAATAGAAGCTCGAACAGGAATACTCCTTCAGTAATATTATTAAGGAATCTGGTGCTTAACGGTGTTTAAAATAGTGATGGTGATGGTGAAAAATAATAACTAGTAAGTTTAAGAAAAATTTCAATAGTGATAAAACTACTTGAAGTTTGTCAAATCAACATCTTAATATGGCAGTTTCTTTAAAAAATGAAGCCTTAAATGATGTGTACATTAATAATTAATGTATATCATACCCGTTCATTCTTGTTCAAATCGTCCTGGTTGTTGAATAAATTCATAAAACCTTTGTCGTCCTTATCTTTGGCATCCAATGTCTGTAAGAGTAAACGTTTAAATAAAAACAATGTATGTGGATAACTAATAAATGCTTGTTATAAAGAAAATAGAATATTAGTAGATAAATTCCTATTGTTATTGTTACGTTCAAAATTGGAATTAAGTTTATTGGATCTCAAATGTTAGTGGAGATTTGCATATTCATTTTTGACAAAAATTCCTTATATATTTCCAAGATTACTGCAAAGATGTATATTCTAATCGAATAAAAAATGATCACTTACTAGTTTTTCATGCAACTCCTTGGATGCCACGAAAGCGAAAACACATAAAACAATTAAAAATCTTAAAGGGCCAGACATTTTTGCAAAAACTTCATGCAAAGGATTGGCGACGTTCACTTGTTTTTCGGTCGAGTACCATTCTGGCGTTTCAATACTTTCTTATTGGAACTCCAATGTTGTTGATAAATCCTTCTACATTGTTTTTTTTCACCGATAACGTTGAATCGAAGTATACTACACTCTTTCCTTTTTCGTGATTACTCTTTTTAAATTTTTTAGTTCAAATTCTAGATACGATTGTTCTGTTTTTGTTTTGGCATGCATAACTTGCCCATCTGGGTTGTGTTGTGTATGATTCCTAATGATGAATGAATTTTGGAAATTACTGATTACCTCTATTGTTGCGTTTTAGCATTCTTTTGCAGGCACAATTTATTTCGGCTTTTAATTGCGGAATTATGTTCACAATGAAAATTTTGATAATAATACGTAATTTGTAACATTTACCTTTAAGCCTTTAAAAATGTAGTAAGCTTATCTCATGTTTTGGAAAGTCCACGTGATGACGTGATGTTGAAACAACATCCTTACTTATTACTTTAGTGCGATCTGTTGCATGGATTTTCTTATTTGACATCATTTATATTTATCATTTTCCTTTTGAAACTAAATTATTGAATATTGTAAATATGTAGATACCAAAATGAGGAATTTTCCAATATTACTTTATTCTGCAGATTTTATTTTCAAGTTGATATTTTGATCTGCTTTTCTGGTATATTACGTCCTTCTATTGTTTTTATGAAGTGTGTTTTCTTATTTTTCATTCTTAATTTTATACCCTATACTATACATAAAACTGAAGTGTTTGTTTGTTTGAGAGTGCTAATCTTAAGAACTACAGGCTCAATTTGAATAAATCGTTTTGTGTTGGATGGTCCTTTTATTTGGCTATATGTTATATAGGCTATATCACACTACAATCAATAGGAGCCGAGCAGAGCGGGTGAAACCGCGGAAGTAGTTTAGTTTTCTATTTAAGTCTCGCTCACACTAGGATAATCCCATGAGTTGAGACAGCATTGACAAGCTTGATTTTCAGAACACGCAAAACTTATGTAGGCCAGTTTTAGAACAACAATTTATGGCTAAGGTTATTAGTTTTATCGTGCAGGAGTCGAACTTGAGATGTCATATGCAATAGTCAGTCACTCATCTATTACACGTACATACTACGGAATCAATTTAATCATAAGAAACTGAAATGTTTTCAAAAATGAGTTTTGATACAAGGGCACACAAGAAACGATCACTATTTCAATTGTTGATTTTATTAGCATTGTTTGACACGTGAAAAAGTAAATCCTTAAAATTAATTTAGTATTTATTTTCAAACACATTGTCCCTTTCACTTGCGTATGGTGGTGGCCTCTGTTCTACAATTTTGGTTCTATATGTCGAACTTTCTATTTGCGGTCGCAACAAAAGCATTTGACGTCTATCACCATTCTGAAAATAAGAAGAAAAGATTAGTAATAAAAATTTATGAGAAGGCGTTTTATATTGGTAGCATTTTGTAAAAATATATTATTTTTAATATAATTTTTGTATACAAATCAACTAAATACAATTATCTTGTATTAACATCACAGAAGTTTGCAAGGTTGCATATTGGGTCCGTTATATTTGAAAGAAATATACAATTGTTTCAAAATTATCTCCTTGCTTTGACTCAATATCTGTAAATTTCAAGTCACTAAAGTGATTAAATACGTATATAGATAGTTCTGATACCGTTAACTCACTTTGTTTTGTCGATCGAATTGAATTTGTTGCGAACGAGTAAATTGTGGCTTACTTTCTTGGTATTTAGTCGACCTTATTTCAAAATTGTTAAGATCATTGTTATCGGATATAGGTCTTTCATTTTCATAAATTGATATTCGAATATTTTTTCTCTCCGGTATATCTTGTCTTCTAGAGTTAATTATTTCTAATAGTTCATTCGGACTTAAATCATCTATTCCATCAAACTTATCAGAGTTTTTAAAACCAATCAAATTTGATGGTAGTTTCTTTCTAACGTCAGCACTGCCGTTATTAGTCAAAAGAGTTTCTTGATTTCTGATTTCATAGTTTATTGGGATTTCATTGGCCTCTTCGTATTCGCGATCTACAGAGTATTTGCCAGTTAAAATGTCTTTGTATTTAAAATCATTGCTATGGTATTTGTTCAGCCATTGTTTTTGACTTATTTTATAAATATTTCTTGAATCTGAATCGACAATAGGAGTGTCTTCGTAAGCATTATCAATTTCACTTTGAATATGTTTTTGCGTTTCGATTGGAGTTTCTTCATATTTGTGTTCCACGTAATCATAGTTACGATCCGAATGGTCGACATTATCACTTTGACTGCGTGTATAACTATACGTTTTATCTGCTTTAGTGCTTTGTTCTATATTGTTTTCGTTTTTCATAGTTTTCATCATCACTTGAACTTCATCATCATTGTTAATATTATAATTATTATCAGGATTATATTTTATGTCCCTCATAATATTCACTGCTTGTTGTTTAAACGGTGATTTCATAGATGTAGCATCTTGATTTTTATTTACAGCGGCTTTGTAAATTTGTTTCATTTTCACATCGAAAAAATGCTTTAGATTAACGTCAAATTTGATGTTTCTGACTTCATGTTCCAACATATTTAAGATATTCTTTAATCTTTTGACGCCCAGATTTTCTTTTATAATTAATAAATCGTCTTTATCAGGATAGCGGGTGGGTTTTCTGTTTTGATAGTTAACAACAAAATTGTCTTCTGCTTTATTTAATGCACTTTCAGTTGGAACGTCTTCAAATATATTGTACATAATTTCATCGTCTGCAATATCTGCAATATTTGATAAAGGCTTTTTCATTTCAAAGCTCTGATCCTGGGCTTCAATTAGGCTGGATGCCATAGGTTCCTTTATAAATGATTTGTTTTTCTCATTATTTCGTTTTGGAAAGTATTTCTTCTTTGGTGTTATTGACTTTGTTATTATCTGTAGCTGTAAAGGTTTCATTAATTAAAAACATGACTTTTTTCATATTGTTGAGTAATTTCAAAGACTTTAAATATTATATTTTTATAAAATGCATTAATTACCTGTTGTAATGATTCATTAGATTCATCAGTCTTCTTTCCATATGTATATTTCGGTTTGATGTCATCTATATTCTTGCTACTGAATGCTTTTATATTACTAGGTCTAAGAATATAATACAATTTATTTATACACATAAACAATATATAATTTCTTTAACAGTGATCAAATATAGCTAGCTAGCAAGAACCAAAAATCATTTAGGCTATTCTGTTGTAACTATCAAATTTCAACTTTCGAAGTGAGCTCCACCACATCCAATTACACGGGGGACCGCAATCAAGTTCACTTCCATCTTTCGAATTGAAATTTAAAGAATAACACAGCTGATTATGGAGTCTTGTAGATAAATGTAGAAATTAGGAGAAGGCAAGATCTTCCTAACATGATAAGCATAATATGAAGCTGCCGAGGAATGTTTATACTCTTACCTGAAGCTACGTATTTCATTATTTCTGGCAGCCATTCCATTGATCTTGCTAGCTTTGATTATAGGACTATTTTTTATTGGATACACAGCATGATCAGCCATTTTTATATCGAAGTTGTAATCATTATCCTCGGCGGTTGGGTTTTCAATACTCTTACTTTTGCTGTCCGGTTTTGTATCGTCTGCTACAAAATTCTGTTTTTTGTATTCCCAGTGAGGGAGGAATGTAATAGTTTTGTAATTATTATAATCTGAAAATTTTAACAATTGGTTTGTTTATTAAAAATTGCTTTGGTAGACTGCTGATAAAGAAAATGAACATTTAATGTCACTTGGCCCAAAGTATTACCAGATACTGATTTGTTTTTGTCGATATAGGTACCCGGTTTGGTTAACGATTACACTAATAGGAAGTAGGAATCATTCTATACAGCTATAATACTATAACTGTATTATTAATATGATTATGTAAGAATATTTAAATATAATGCACCTGTTTTTTTATTTTTGATTTCCAGTGTTGGTGTGATCGGGCGTGAAGTAGTAGTGGTACGAACTGTTGTAGCTGGATCGAAGAAATATCATTAGATTATAATTAAAAACATATCATTCTGAAATATTATCAGATTACCAAGTGATTGCCGAACAAAAGATTTTGTATTTGGTTTTTGGGACGGGTAGTCTTTTATCTGCTTCAGATCAGGTATCAGCCCTGCTGGGCCCCATCTAAGGTGGTCTGATGGCACTTTAAGACGTGCGCGGAACGCGTCGTGAAAGACTTGAAGATTGATCCGAAAAGAATTGTTAAGGCCTGGGTTAAGAAATCACATGACATGTTTCTGAGTATAATTACAATGGTCAGCCTTTATTACACTGGTTTCAGTGGAGCTTAGTTGAAGAAAAGTGGCTGTACTCAGACGGCTCTTGTATCTTAATTTACTACAACTCAATTGAAACATACTTGTCCAATCATCTGATACTCTTTCACAGAGACAGTTCCTGGTTTCCTTGGATCCTTGTGGACAGCCACAGCGCTTAGTGAACCCCAGACTAGGCATTGGAGGGTCAGTATTGTACAGAGGCTCACCTGGTTGGGGACCCTCTGAGATATTGCATACTACTTGTACACTCTGAAATTATTGAGATTATTACGTCTTCATCAGCTAGAACATCTTCGTTGAATAAAACGGCGCTTATTTTAAACTGATGTTTCCTATAATCCCCATGCCTAGTATCTTTGCTTTGAGGATTTTTGCTAGAAGAATTTTGCCCGTCCATTGCTAGCTGATCACCATATTAAAATCTGTTACACTTATGTCTGTTTCACTACCTTCATATGGGACACCCGATAAACTTAATTGTAGTAGATAGTTCATTCAAATTACGTCCTATATTCCATAGTGGCTATCCAGGCATGTTTTATAATACCGGCTCTTAATACGTGCATTCCCTTTAGTTCAGGGAATTAAAACGAATGTAGTGTAACAATGTATGTGAAACACTTACGTTCTGAATGGATTCAGTTTGACCATCAATTTTGTATTTGGAGTAAGCA